CACACACACACACACACACACACACGCACACACACATACACACATGAAGACAAGCAGACACCCGGCGTCTATGTTGTAGAATTGAGACTCTCTGTTCTTGTAAGTAGAAGGGGTGAGTTCGACTACCAAGTGGGAAGTCTATTCTATTGGGTATCTCCGCCTACCTACCAGCTGTTTGAGTATGTTGTATCCCACTCAGCCCTGGGTGGACCTGCAGGCAGAGTAGTGTAGCCCGCTTCCTAAAAGACCTACATTGTGCCTCACCACTTCAAACTAAGCCTGTTGGTGGTTGGCGGGTGCTCTGGTGTGGTTTGCTTCTTCTTTCCTATGAAACATCTATCGTCCTTATCTCCCTTTTTCTTCTTAATGTTTGTTACTCTCTTGTAGCACCTCTAATCTTCTGGCGCTCATATGACCTTATGCAGTTGCTAGTGCCTTAAAAACTCTACTAAAACTAAAACTAAAACTAAGCCTTTAAAATCAACATTACAAACAACATCAGTAAAACAGGACAACCTCCTTTCCTCCCTCACCCCGCCCACAAACATGAATGCACACATCTCCCTCCCCAGTCCTTCAAAGAACATAATAAATAGTAATAAATAGCATAATTTGTATAGCGCATGTCCCCACTCGGAAGCAAGCTCTATGCGCTTTGAACTATATATTATTACCCAAGCAAACAGACCATAGAACACTCAGAAACATTCTCAGCTTCCTGGGAAGCGTACAGTGCAAGCAGCCGGTTAAGCGCTCAAACACTAACAAACTGATAAGATCATAGAGCAAATGCCCCCCCCCCCCCTTCCACAATCCTTCTTTCCCCGAAAAAACGCCCAAACAAAACAAAACGCACAGTAAGCAGGAGCAAAGGTAAATAACCTTCACAGAATCCCATAATCATTGGGATTTTTTTTTTTTAAGCAGGAGCTTTTACGCCCTCACCGACACAACTGAGATTATTTAGGCTCTCGGACTCGCAACCGTAAGGTCATGGGTTCGAATCCTGTCAGGGACCCGACGTTGTGTCCTTGGGAAAGGCACTTTACACGAGTTTTCCCCACTTCGCCCAGGTGGGAATGGGTACCCAGCTATAGACAGTGAAAGATCTTGTCAGTTTGTTAGTGTTTGAGCGCTTAATTAGCTGCTTGCACTGTATGCTTCCCGGGAAGCTGAGAATGTTTCTGAGTGTTCTATGGTAATATAGTGTAAAGTGCATAGAGCCTGCTGAGTGGGGATATGCGCTATACAAATGCTATTATTTATAATAATAATAATAATTATTATTTCAGAAGCGGGCTCTTACAATGTCTTTCAGAGCTAATCCGAGCTGAGAGGGATACATTGTCCCATGAGAAAGATAGAGATACTCAATAAAAATGTTCCCCACTTGGGAATAGAACTTGGGTCTCCTGAATGCGACGACGAGGCGCCTAATCGCTACACCACAGACGTGGGTGCACACATGATCCCACAAACACTTTACTGTTTCCCTAGAAATACGACTCGTATATGATTATAATTTATGGTTGAACAGAAATGTGGTTTCTTAACAGACTGCTAAGAGTATCGTGAAAGGAAAAGAAATTAAAAATGAGGTAGTGCTTGATGAAGCCCACGTGGGACGCCCACTGTTAAAAACAATCAGGAAACGACAAATGCAGTTTTTGGGACCTCTGAATAGACATAAGGGTCTTGAACATCTAGTTTTCACTGGCAAAATTAAAGGCAAACGAGGTAGGGGTAGGCCCAGAGCAACCTACTTAGGGAACCTAAACAAAAGAGTAACAGGGAAACGATCGAGGAAAGGTGTTTTTTTTAAAGAGCATCCGGGCGAAGGAATGAAAGGAGAACCATGATCGCCGATGTCTGTCGCAGATCTGGCACTAGATGATGATGATGATGATGATGGTTGTCCGCTACCACCAACACAAATGAGGGCTCGTGGTTTTGAGACGCTCTCTGTGCTGTGAGTGAATTCATGAAACAACAATAGATCGGCCCATCGACCTTCGCTGATCACAAACTGTCGGCACTGATAACAGAGAAAGTCCTTTGGCGTCATGGTGAAATCAGGCGCTCGTTATAATAAGGAAACGGAGGAAATCGTCATTTCTCCGTCCTTTGACGAATATTTTTCTCCTTTTTAATTTTAATCTTTAAAATTGTATTTATTTATTTAATTAATTATTTATTTATTTATTTATCTATTAAAAAAAAAAAAGATTTTGGGGGGGGGTCAAGTCATGTTATGTTCATTTAAAACACACTTCTGTGTGGGTTTTTACAGAAAAACGTTGGCCAGAGACACAAAGAAATCTGTATTTTTCAAGGACTTTCAAGCGTTGAAAGCCATCAAACTTTAGAAGTCGTTTTTTCGCAAATATTATTACTTCTACCACCACGCGACCCCCTCCCCCCTCCTTTAATTAATTGCTAATGCCTCAGCTTCTGTTCAAGATAAATGTAAATTGTTTTTATCAAAAGGAAAAGATATGAATAAGCTTTAAGATTCTACCAATAGCTCCATATGCCGAAAAGTTTACGAGCGCCTGATTCTATCGTGTCGTGACATATTTTGTTGATGTTCAATATTTTTTCTAGTCATCTGATACTGATGTACAGGCAGTCACAGAGTGGCAGAAGCTTCGCGGAGAATAATTTTTATGCTGGCGTTGTCTATATATAGAAATTACATCATGAATTTTAGGGTAACCTTTATATGTATTAAAAGATTAATTAATCTGGAGCTGATAGTGATAGAAGTTGGGCCAAGTGACTGAGCTTATCAGCACAGCTATCTTTTCAAATGGGATACAATTGAAAGGGTCGTATTTTGTTGGAAAAGTGAGTACACACTACAACACACGTCAGGGGAGACTACACAACTGAGAATTTGAATGAAATAGCAGAGGAGGGGAGCTTTGGATCAGAGTTACAGAAACGCTGCAAATGATCAAAACACGTTATGACGTCGTGTTTAAGTCCAGCTGGTTTTTATTCATCCTTTCTTTTTGGGGGGTCTCTTTCCGTCTTTACTTTTTTTTTTGGTTCTGATTTTTCTCAAAACAATGCCAATGTAACTTAGATCTATAGGCCCTTTATTTTTCTTCTGACTCCTTGAACTATGTATTACGAAACAAAACAAGTGATCGGCTGTTTTCATTTCCGAGGCCTACATCAGGGAGTAGTTTTAAAATTATTTTATTTTTATCTCCCCGTTGTTTTATAAAGTGTTCGCTCTGGCTCTACTTTCAGGACGGTTTTCGTTTCGGGAAAGAGTAAACTTGGGCCCCCACCATTCTGAACTTACTTGACCTAATACATACATCCGGGGTCTCCGTCCTCTTTGTCCTCACATTCAGGCTGCTGTGATATCATGCTAGAAAGACGCCTCTGACTTTACTATATTATTGTTCAGAATGGAGGGGTCGACGTTTACTTTTTCGTTCTTTCAAGACTATTTGCCTTCTGTTCTCTTCTGTTTGCCATGTAACCTTCAAATTTGCTGTATCGGTAGTTGGAGTTAATGGTTGGTGAAAGTACATTCTGACCTCCCCCCCCCCCTTTTAAGTTAATAATAATAGATATCATT